TTGTACTCGTAACTGACGGTTATGGAGAACGAGGTAACAAAAAGAAAATAAACTGAATTAAGAACCCCCTTTTTTTGAAGTCGGTCGAAAATTTTGCAGTGTCTGATAACCTATTATCATTCATAACATGTAGGGCATAAGAATAAATCATAAAGGTCGTGTTCCCGCAGGAACAAATTGCCACGCGGACTACGTACAAGCACTAAATAAAAAAAATAAAATAAAAAAAAATATTAATAAAGGAAATTGTATTGAATAAAAAAATACTATTAGCTTATTAACACAATGAGTGATTGACATAACAACGAACAACCACCAATACTTCCTAACTTACACATGTAAAATACTTGTAAAAATGTCTTTCCAACTTATCTAAATAATATATGTATATCAATATATTGAGAATTTATATTGAAACTACGTTTTTTTTATCGTATTTAGAATAAATTTGAAATTAAGATGTTCCCCGTGTCAGTAAGGAGATATTGGCGGTTATCCGTCGATAATGCGTATGACTGATCCCCACTGGAGGCGCGCCAGACTGAAAAAACCAATGCGTACTAGTGCACATAAAGTTCTAGACTACGTACTACAAGTACAGACGCGGTCACATAATGACATTGTTTCCACTGCACGTGTGTTGGTAACGCACACACATCGCTCTATAGTGTGGTGTGACGGTTTATTTCTTCGATAAGACCCACATAGGCATCGCGTATACGGTTACTCTTATATTGATTTTAGATTTAAATTGTTTTGTGACCTTGAACTTTATGTCTGGTAAGCAGTGTTCATTCTTCGTTTCTCTTCACTATAAAACCGTCACCTTTTATCTAGTAATTTATTTTGACACGTATATATTTATTTATTTTTATAAATTTCATTCTATCTGTGTAAGGGCGTTTAATAAAGTCGAGTTTCCATCGTGTATCATACACAAAGTAGGTATGAATATTCGATACGTCTTATATCTTATCAGTTTGCTTGTACCAAATAAGAATGTTAATCAGTCAGTCTGTAAGGATATTGATGGTAATCGTCATGGACTGTAAGTTTTTTTATACCTAACTACTTTTACACGTTCACTTATATGTTTGTATATGTTATTGTACTCACGTATGTCGCATCCGTTGTTGACAGCTCTTGTTTAATTATGTGGAACTAATCTTGCTACTGGCACTATATGGGTACTTCTATGTTTAAATATTAGTGTTAGAACACGTCAGAGTATAGAAATATTCTAGAATGACTCATACATCTGCATACAGTACAGGATAATTTGTAAACACACGAAAATTGAACACGGAATTTATTTGTTCTCGATATTATTTTGTTAATTTGTGTTAATAAAATGTTATCAGAAGCAAACAGTTGTTCTATTATATATAATATTTGAGCTCAATATATATATGTTTTGTTTATTTATGAGTTATTTCTGGCAACGGTGTTTTATTGTGGTATCCACATAAATTGATATTCACTCCAATGTATGTATTACGCAATACTGAAATTTAGGTTTTAATACAAAATGTATCTTCAAATAAGTAGGTGCCTGTAATAAATTATTGCTGTGCATAATCGTAGTTATTTGTATATGCGAACACAATATTTTATTTTTGTAAATTTATGACTTATTTTTGGCAATGGTGTTTTATAGAGGTGTCCATATAAATTGACGTTTACTGTCTTATGTAATACTTATTCATTGAAATTTTAGTTTATTTGACATTTTCTATAAACTGCTAATTAGAAGGATCGTTTTATTTTTCCTGTAATATTCACATATATACACAAATACCTGTATATACAAATAACATAAATTGTATTTAAAGATGTTTCGATTTATAAACTTTGGAGATAAGGTGAATGGTATTTTCTTTCATTTTTATCATTCTATAATTTTTTTTATTATTTCTATTGCATTATACACATATTAAGAAATGTATCTAAAACATTTTCAAATGGCAAAATATTATAGCAATTGACAGACGAAAGGAAGGACAAAGACGTACAATAATTTCCTTTCTTTTTACCACAGTTCCTTTGTATAATTTTGTTATGGGACACTAAAAAGTAGCATACATAGGTAAAGGTATAAAAATACATTTTACATTTATTTGATAATTCATAAGACTGTGTTCCATAAAATAAACAAACCGACTCGAATCCTGGCAAAAGCAGTAATTTTAAACAGATAAAAAAATATATATTGGACCTATCTAAAAGTATATTCTATCAGATAAAAAAAATCCAAATCGGTCTATAAATGACAATTGAGAACCTACTTTTTTGAGGTCGGTCTAAAATGGAATAAATACACCGTCTCCGATCGCTGTGAGCACATTCCGCCGCCATTGTACTGCATATTGTATATTATGCGGTCGAACAGTTAAGGTCACATGTAACCCCTTAAGAAACAAACCTCTTATATTCACATTGTGATCGATTAGTACCTAACATAGGTGAAACAATATTTTAGTATTGCTCCTTTTGTTTCGGTGAAACTATGTGTATAATCATTTAATTCAATTTTGTATAATCACATGTGAAAATTTTAAAAACATTGGATGGCCGGACATATTTATATAACTGGTTAGTTGATTAGAGTTATTTTTTGTTTAATTGTGTGTTGCCATTAGTATGCGTGCGACTGCCAACACTCGAAGATTGACTACTTATTATGATAATTAATTACTATATTACCAGAAGTTGTACAACCTTCCATATTAGCCATCAGCCTTCGATTCCGTCATTCATTCCGTCCACAAATGTATGTAAAATTTCATACGTAGTCAATATTATTACTAGTCGTGTGACCATGTAGTGTAGTCCTCCTGTATCAAGAGTTTTCGGGCCGCCTTTATTATACACGAAGGCCGTCTGATGTTGTTTATTGAATGACAGCTTTATATTTCTTTCGAAGCACGAAGTAGGTACATAGTTAATGACCCGGATCCACATATATGTACTTACAATACTTTTGTCATGATAAAATTTATTTACACATTTTGTTTAATTTAGTTATTCTTTAACCCTTTCTAACACGCCAGTGTATACCGATAGCGCAGGCGGAATTACCATACCATTATCATCCATAAAAAAAAACTCTTTCTAACACCTGACAAACGGGGGGGGGGGGAAGGGATTATTAGTAATGGAGACTGAGAATCCCATTGCTAGCAATAGACCCAACCAGGTCGACCTCCTCGCGGTTCTCCCTGGAAACTATCATGGTTAATTCCTGATGAATTCATCATGATGGGCTAACTGGCATGTTTTCATTCTTATCTATCACTCTTCACTAGTGCTCCGACAGCATATCCCGTTAGCGCAGGCGGGGTTACCATACCATTTTCACCCATCAAAAAAACACCTGACAAACGATCCACATTAGAGCATAGGAGAGAGAAGGGATTGTTAGTAAATAGAGGTTAGCAATCCCATAGCAATTTTGTGGTCTAGGGATGGATAGAAGCCCTTTTAAAACATCACAAAAGCCTGATTGCGGTTACAATCCGCTTGCCAAGCGTGGCAACTACTGGCAATATCTCCCTTAAAGGTTGACAGCTAATATAATAACAATTGCTAAATATAGCCCCAGGGACAACCTAAAACGTATACATAAATGACATCGTTGAATTGAATATTAAATATAAAAGAATGTCTAAAGCTTTATTGATGTATATCAATAAACTTGAAGCTTAATTTACATATTACATAGCAGAGGGAGACTGTACAAAAGTCGATTGCTTGGGTACCTCTGTCCCATTCGTGTTTCTACCGTAAAGCAGTTGTGTTTGCATGGTTGTGTTTTGTTTTGAAGGGTGGGATATGGCGTGAATTTACAGGGTACAAAGGAATAACACCTGAGTCTTCAGGAATGGCAACGCGTGGGGGGTATCATGGGCGAAACAGTATACTCTTTTATGTCCATGGTACTGCTCATGTCTATAGGCGACGGTTACCACTTTCCATCAGGTGGGCAGTCAGCTTGTTTGCCATTCTAAGTTGTATAATAAAAAAAAACATATATGCCACTTGCATTTTTTTTAATATTAACTCATTCTGTAAAAGTTATTCGTTTCGGCTGTTTTTGTTGTTTTGACTGGACATCTAATTAATCGAAAGTCTAAAGCATGAAGTGCAGCATAGGCGTTCCAAATAACGTGTGCTGCGAACATTAAGAATGGCTTTCCGGAGATTTCCAGTGTAACAGCAGATTTCGGCTATATATTATGAGCAACGAACAATAACGTGCTCAGGTGTGCTGAGATGCAAGTTTTGTTTGGTTTCGTATTTTTCTAGCGAATTAACAACGAAGATCTTTATTCTTCCCCTCAAAAAATTATATAGATTATAAAGATTAATAATATTTATATATAATATAACAAAATGAAAACTTAATTACATTCCCCAGCACTTAAAAAAAATACCACTTAATTATTTTAAATCACAATTACAAAAATGGCTTATTGACTACAACAGTCAATAAGCCATTTTTGTAATTGGGATTGTTTCTATTCAATTATTTTTTTTTTTTTAAATTAAAACTGAATTGAGTAATTAATTAATATTATAATAATATTAATATCAAATGAGATGAAGTACATTAATTGACATACATTAATTGTAATTGACATATTGTTTTTTTTAAAAGAATTGTTAATAAATAAATTAAAATTTAAATATTTAAGTATTTAAAATTTTGCATGCCTAATTGTGGCGAAATATGTGGACTTAATATTATTTTATCTATCTGTATATTTACCATATTTCTTGCAAATAAATAAATATTCATTCATTCATTCATAAAAGGAAGCTTTATCTTCCTTGGCAACAATGGTCGACCATAACGCTAAATAGCGATCTCTTCCAGGCAACTTAGTGATATATGTATGTATAATCCTAGTGGTAATTTTTTAGAAAACAATCTAAAATTATAGCATACTCTTTGTCTTGCTACGACTAGTTATACTTTATCCCTAAATCCTCTATTTCAGTACCATTAGCTGGCAATGTGAAGGGGAGACAGGGGAAGCGTCGGCCTGCCGTAACTGGCGCGGCGGACGCCAGCGCACCTGTCGGGAAGAAAGGACGGGGCAACGAAATCGGTACCCTCAAACTGCCGTCACATGGTTACCCCACAGAACACCCCTTCAATAAAGATGGATACAGATATATACTGGCGGAACCTGATCCACACGCGCCGTTCAGACAGGTAAGTTTAAACCTCATTCAAAAAGTTCTAGAGCAAATTTTATCCCATTTCAATAAGAGCTAATTTTAATCTATTTGAAAAGAGGTCACTTAAGGTAATTTAAATTTATTTTAAATGAGGTCTTTTAAGCTAACTTTAATCTATTTTAAATTTCTCGCTAATTTTATTTTAAAAGAGGTCTCTCAAGCTCATTTTAAACTATTTTAAATTTCTCGCTAATTTTAAAAGAGGTCTCTCAAGCTCATTTTAAACTATTTTAAATTTCTCGCTAATTTTAATAAATTTTAAAAAAGGTCTCGCAAATTTTATTTTAAAAGAGATCTCTCAAGGTAATTTTAACCTACTTCAAAAAGAGATGTTTTAAGCAAATTTTTAACCCACTTTAAAAAGAAGATTTTTATAAATTTTTTACTTTCATTTTATCCAAAGAGTATTTTTTTATAGGAATTCGACGAGAGCAACGAATGGAGCGGTAAACCTATCCCCGGCTGGTTGTACCGATCGCTTTGCCCCGGTATTGTATTGTTGGCGTTACACGATAGAGCGCCGCAGTTGAAAATATCTGAAGACAGACTGGCTGTCACCGGTGAGAAAGGGTACTGCATGGTCCGGGCGACTCATGGTATGTTCATTGTGTTTTTTTTATTTTTGATTTATTTATTTATATATATTGTTTGTTATGTAGTGTTATTTATGTGACATGCAATAAATAAATTAAAAATAAGCCCAGTTTGGGTGTTGCAATTAACTAAAATTAAGTAATAATTAAATAAGTTTAAAAATATTTAAAATATCATCATTATATCAGCCTTTAATTGTCCACTGCTGAACATAAGCCTACCCTTGGTGGGTTTTGCCAGCAGTTGCAACACTTAACAGGAGGATTGGCAACCGCAGTTTGGCTTTGCAGATTTTTTTTTATACAACTTAGAATGGCAAACAAGCTGACGGCCCACCTGATGGAAAGTGGTAACCGTCGCCTATAGACATGAGCAGTACCATGGACATAACAGAGTATACTGTTTCGCCCATGATACTCCCCATGCGTTGCCATTCCTGAGGACTCAGGTGTTATTCCTCGGTACCCGGTAAATTCACGCCATATCCCTTCAAACCGAAACACAACACATAGTGATAGGTTAAGCCATTACGGTTCTATAAGCAACAAACAGACTTTCATATTCATAATATCATAATAGTAAATATTACAATTAAACCTATTTTAATTAGTAGACACTTTTACTTCTGATCGATATTCGATACAGAATGATTAAGTAAAATATTAATAAGAAATAAGTCGTTTCCGTAGTTCGATGTTAGCGGAATCGATACGGGTGGCATTCGCTTGCACCACTTTCTTGAATCGCCTCTAAGGTGGTCCGGTAAGGTTGATATTGCAATGAAGTAACGATAACTAATGTCAAGTTGCTACAATAACATGTGTGTTCTTAATAGATAACGATATTCCAAATACAGTTTTAGATTTTTTTTAGGTTGTTTACACCAATACAGTTCTTATTTATATAATGATTCTTTTAAATTATTCGATTTTCTTCGATTTAAATTGAAAATATATAATCGTAAAGAGCAAAAAAGATTCTTGGGTATTTTAAAAGTTCGTGAAGCGAGCGCGGGATATGCTGTTTACAGAAAATTTCAAGTAGAATTATCAAAAAGTGACAAAATCAGAACATGACAATAAAAAAAAAATTAAAAGTCAATTGTTTTTCCAAATCGGTATAAATTTCCGAATTTTTACCCTATTACAAAGTTCTATCGGTTTTTACTATGTTTTACCATTTACACGCAAAATGAAAGATGAAAAAAAGGTCATTCCATTTGTTTCTACTTTTCTTTTTTCTGCTATCTGTAATTATGTTACTTATATATTTGTACAACCTTTACAAATATTGAAAGTATTATCCAAAGTTATTTAAAAAAAATACTAATTTCTCTAAGCTCATTTCCAAAAATTTAATTAGAAAAGTTTTTACCCATCTTTACGAAAAATATATCCAATCTGGCAATACTGATTTCATTATAATAAAATCGGACGTAACTGTATGACTTCATGCATGCAAGACGCCCACTTTCCCACTACAAAGCCACTCGATTATGGTGCTAATCCTAAATCGATGTCTACTATTCTTTTCGGGTTTAATAGGGTTTATTTTTTGATAATTGAAAATAAGGTTACCAACTATACTCATTTACTGAGTTTTGTACTCTTTTTTTGCAAACCGTACTCGTTTCAAATCCTGTACTCTGAAAGTACTAATTTGTATAATTTTATACTCACTTTTGTATTTTCACTAAGGAACGATTATTGGAGCAGTGAAAAGTTGCAACTTTCTGTATCTGTAAAACATTATCTGCCGTTTTAACAGCCACATTTAATATGCTAAATGAAAGTTGTGCGGATGCGGCATGCTCATTTAGCAAAAAAATCTACTCCGAAGAAAAATATGTTTTTAAAAGAAAATAAAGTTTTTATCGTTTTTTCTTTTTTTTTTTTCACTTAAGAAATACTTGCAAAGTGTACTTACTCTTTTTGAATAAAAAAATAGTTGGTCACCTTATTGAAAATAAAAAGTATGCATGTGTTGTGTGCAGGCGTGTCCCGCGGCGCGTGGTACTGGGAGGCGTCGGTGGAGGAGATGCCGGAGGGCGCGGCGGCGCGGCTGGGCTGGGGCCGCCGCTACGCCAACCTGCAGGCGCCGCTCGGCTACGACAAGTTCGGCTACTCGTGGCGTAGCCGCAAGGGCACCAGGTAACCGCTACACGCTCTCCATTTTATAGTTTTTTTTTTATACTTGGCATATTCAGTTAATTATGACAAGCATATGATAGATTTATGTGGGGCCGTTCAATATCAAGAAATAATCATAAAAAATCTTGAAGGTTTGGATTATATTTTTTTTTTAAATATTATTGGTATAATTAAACACTCATATTTTGCTATTTATTTGCTCATTATTTTGCACCACTAATTATATTATTTAATAATAATAATAATTCTTTAATATGGGCAACCAGGGTTCACAACATTTTACTAATATTAATTTGCACCAACTATAAATTATTAAATCAAATTTTTTTTTTTTACATTTATAAATAAATAACATTAACTTAACCTACTTTTGTTTTTGTTTATTTTGTTTACTTTTTATTATTTATTATTATTTCTATCTATGGTTGGGTGATAAATAATGCCATATGGTTTTAGTCAGCTTTTTACATTGTGTATTAAAGTTCAATAGATACTTAAATGAATAAATGTAAATAGAGATTTAAAAAGGTAACTAATTGTTGAGTTTATTGTAATTCTTCTCAACAGATAACACTCCAAAAATTACAGTAGAGTTAGAAAAACATTGATTTAAAACAGGATTTTGTATAAAACTACTTAAAGATTATTTTAAATTTGAAAAGAAATAGGCGAACTTGTTTTTGAAGGATTTTCATGATTTCGAATTGTTGTAAAACTATTTTCAGTACATCCATATAACAATCATCATATATATTATAAATATAATAATAATCTATAAGTACATCATATATGTGATTTCTTTTTATTTTTCAGATTTCATGAATCGCGCGGGAAACATTACAGCAATGGATACGGCGAGGGCGACACCCTCGGCTTCCTCATTGTTCTGCCTGATAGCGTAACGACAAAGTTCACACCAAACACATATAAGGACAGAGTGAGCAATAATAAGAATAACATTGTGTATACCATTCTATTAATATAAGAAATGCGAAATTTTTGTAACGATGGATAGATCTATATTATTATATACAAATAAAAATCATCTTAATGATCATTTTTATTTGTTATTATTTTCAGTTACTAAATACAAATACAGTAAATTTAGACAAAAATGGCGGGGCGACATATTAACGTAGTACGTGCAGATAAACTTCTAATTATTAAATATAATTAATAAAGTTATTAAACTTCTTAGTAAACAAGCAATTTCTTTACTGCACTGCCCCCAAAAACATACTATTATGAAAAAACATATACATTATGACTCCATATATGTCTATAATGTATTTTCTATCTTGTTCGCGCTATTGATTTATGCTGGTGGCGCACCAGTAAGGGATGATAGGTGAGGGTGAAAGTACGTCAGTTAGCCCATCGTGATGAATTCCAAAAGAAATAAGCAAGATAGTTTTTAGGAGGAACTGCGTGGATGTCGACCTGATATAGACCTGTTCTCATGTATTGCATCATTCTAGAAACATGTCTCCTTCTTTCTCCAATTCTCAATGGGATCAATTTAGGAAACAAACTTTTCTAAATTGATTTAGGCCATTCTGGGATATGTCCTCAAATGTTTGATTTTTCATAACACTTATTTAATTAACAGGCATTTGGTGTAATTGATGCACTAAATTTTCTTTTTTCATTTACAGCCTCTAGTTAAATTCAAAAGTCATCTTTACTACGAAGATAAAGATAACATACAAGAATCTCTCAACAATTTGAAATCTCTACCAGGCAGCAAGATATATTACTTCAAGAATGGCGAGTGCCAAGGGGAGGCATTCGTGGATATATACCAGGGTTGCTATTACCCGTCTGTGTCCTTACATAAAAACGTAACAGTTAGCGTCAACTTTGGTCCGAATTTTAAATTTGCGCCAAGCGGTGATTATAAATACAGACCAGTAAGTAATTTGATCCTGTTATTTAATGTTTCGTAAGCACATGTAATTTTGCCGCCTGGTTACAGAATGGACTACCTCTTCCTTTACCGTGCGTGTCGTAAGAGGTGACTAAGATAATTTAACGGTCGAGGAATGGCCGGCAGCGTCTCTTGAAACTTCACTAAAACCTATGTCTGCCTAACTATGCTTCCCTTATGGCCTTTGTTCAGCAATGGATAGTTAATAGCTATCATATCAGATGTAATATTATTATTTATTTGTCACAATTTTTTTGACAAAAATACACGTAAATTAATATGGTTATTTATACTAACTTGCAACACTTACAAAAGTCATTTGTTTCGGTACCTATGTTCCATTCATGTTTCTGCCGTGAAGCAGTTGTGTTTGCATGGTTGTGTTTCGGTTTGAAGGGTGGGATATGGTAATAAATTTACAAGGTACAGAGTCATAATACCTTAGTCCTCAGGAATGGCAATGCATGAGGGGTATTATGACCGGTACTACAGTATACTCTGTTATGTTCATGTCTATAGGCCACGGTTACCATTTTCCATTAGGTGGGTCGTCAACTTGTTTGCTATTGTATGTCACATAAAAAATCACATATTATTTTAAAAAATCGACGAAACTTTTTGTTGTTTGCCTTGACGGAAGTCATGAACTGGGGTAGTATTGTGTTTTGTCGTACACAGGGTGAAATCGCAGTCATTAGCTACCCTTTTCATGTTGTAGAATATGTAATAATATATAATTAATATATATTTTGTAAAATATATATAAAATTATAAAAAAATCTAAAATCAAACATTTAAAACGACCATATTAATCTAACAACTGGACGCGCCGTGTTAGAATGGAATAAAATTAATTAAATCAGGCTTAAACTATTTTGTCGTTTTTTTTATCTATGTTCGGCGAAAATACTCAGAGGAATAACACCTGAGTCCTCAGGAATGGCAACGCATGGGGGGGGGGGGGGTATTATGCGCGAAACAGTATACTCTGTTATGTCCATAGTACTGCTCATGTCTATAGGCGACGGTTATCACTTTCCATCATTCTTAAAAAAGATTTTCAGCAGTAAGATCCCGTTACTGTACTCGCACAACTATATAATTGCATTTAAAAATTAATATTATATTATATAATGTAAATATTCATTTATTTCTTGCAGATGTCAGAAAAAGCAGAAGAGGCGATATGCGAACAAACAATGGCGGACCTACTTTATCTCACAGAGAATGAGGGCAAATTACGACTGGATAATTTTAATCTCTGATACAACTAACACCGTTCGACGGTGTGAAATATGTGATCGCAACTTTAAAAGTGATAAATTAATGTGTGAAATATAGCTGTAAAAAGTCATCTTAATGTAACTGATGTGCAAATGTTTTAAAAACTAACCCCAGTTATTCAAGGGGAAGGGAATCGTGGTTAATTCATGTTGTATTTGTCACGATGCGCTGATTGACTTGGGGGTCTACCATGAAATGAAATTCGAATTTTCAGACTCAATTTTGTATTTTCGTTCATACCGAAATCAGCCCAGTAAATGGAGGTTAAACAAATTCTACTATAAAAGTTCAGAGGAATGATATTTTAACATTTTTAATATTTTTAAACAGCGTGTAGTATGTAATTTTAACATCAAATTTGTGTTTCGTTCGACCCGTTCGACGATTTCGGAAAATATTTCATGGTAGACCCTTTGCTTTTATCCACACCTAGCGTCCCTTACTGGTGCCCCGCCAGCGTATGTTGATAGCGTGTGCGGGTGATCATTCCATTATCACCTATTGAAAAAACCCTTATTCATAAAAATTGAAACCTTTTATATACTTATTTTAACTATTGTCACAATCTTCAACGTAAAAACAAAACGCTACTTTACGTTGGTTTATTTCAGTTTTATGAATAATGGGCTAAATTTTATACACTGGCAGCATGGCCGTAGCTGGGGGTGGGGGGGGCGCATATTGTGGGGCAATGGCCTACCTTAAAAGGCCCAATGTCCTACTTTAAAATGAAAGCCCACAAGAAAATTAGATTCACATATTCAAAGTTACTTATGGCTTCTGCCCTACCGAAAAGTTCTTTTGTCCTACCTTAAACTTAGGTCTAGCTACGGCCTTGACTAGCAGTAAATAATCTGTAAGATCTAAGACCACTAGGTCGTTTGTATATTAACATTTTGAAATGTATCTGCTTTTTGGAGTGATTAAGATGTCTATATGCGTTAATAAAATAACTTGTTAGTTTTGCTGCGTAGTTAAAAATTATGTATTTACATTTAAATTTATGTAAATATTCATTAAAAAGTATTTTGTTTCAAAGCTCTCAATTGTAAATTTGTATATTTGAAACATAATGAACTGATTCATCTTAGTATTGTTATCATGATCTTAAATACTGTAAGCATCTCTACCGTCAATGTATTTTATATAATAAGCAAAAAATTAAATGAACAAAATGAATGGAAAGTATAATTAAATTTACACAAAATATGCATAATAATTACAACATATCGATATAAAATGTTTTTTATTTTAATCTATTTCTCTAAAATATGCAAAAATATTATTTTTTATTTTTATCGCTATGAATGTTTTTACCTGGTGATTTTGCTCATGTGTAATAGATTAAAAAGTACCATCTTAATTCAGGTTAGCCTTATGGCTTGTGTACCATATATCATTCAAATTGTTCAGTTGCTTAAGTCTGATAACAAGCATAAGTTATACCTAACAGGTTAGCAAGGATTAGCATAGCATCCTCTAAATAATTTACCTCTGATTTATGACGTTAGTCTTAATTTTTAAAGCACTGTGACTATACTAAATATAGATTTTTGATTTGTGACTTTGTCACATCAGCTTATTTAAAATATTAAATTGTGTACATTCAGGGCTTTTTTTTTTTCAGGAATTATTTAGGAATTTAGGATATAAAATGTTGGTAAATAATTGTTACAAATTGAGATTATAAATAATCATTGCTATTATTTAAAAACTTAATTCAACTACTAAAAATACAGCCATAATTTTATGGATTATACAGATTAATTCTTGTACTATTTACCAAAGCCACCTTTACAATTAGGGCTACTCTCCACAATTTTGTCACTCTCTTCCCATTGCTTGGGTGTTTTAGCCACAATGGATAAAGCATGTACTCCAGTTTGCAGTTCTTCCTTCAATATATCATTTACAAGTCGATGTCTCTATAATTATAAAATATATGTAGGTAAATAAAAAATATATAAAATTGGTAGCTATTTATTTTTCGTAACAGACTTGTTTTTAATTAGTTTAAGAAATTCTAAACAATTCCTATTAAAGCAGATAGCTTATTTTATTCTAAAGTTAATACTTACTAGATAAGGTTATATAATAAAAAAAATCCTATCAGATTTTATAGATTCGATATTACCCAATTCAGAAAAAAGTGGTTTTCATTGTGAAAAAATGCAATAAATTTTTGTTCATAGTTAAAATTAGGTTTCAGATTTTGTGTAACTGCAAATTACAAAATTAAGAAAATATGAACTACAGATATGCAAAATTAAATCAAAAGTGGATCAGCTGTCAATTATATTAAATTTTGTTAATTAATTTTTTTTTTATTCAGATAGGAATTTTTAAAGTGTAATATAGTATATGACCTAACCTGATGTAAAGCATCTTAAGATATTAAGCAGCGATTAGAACTAAGCCATGTGATCCTGGCATAGAATGGGCCACCCCTTTCTTTTCTTTGGGTGATAATGTAAGAAGTGATTAAAGGAATTTAATAATCGAGGGACAACCGTAGCATCTTACTTAAAACATCATCAAAGCCAATCAATTGTCAATCTGCCTACCAAGCATGGCAACTACGGGTAAACCCTTTCAAGGGGGAGGCCTATGAGTATGTTTAGCAATGGACAGTTAACAGCCGATATGATGAGAGCTTATATTGCTCTTGCAAAATTAAGAATGTAAAGTTTATGTCAAGCTTTCTTATCTCCGGTAGAAATCACAATATATAAAAATTCTTTGTCATGATGTTAATTCACACTGATCTCTGAAGCCTTTCAATCAATTTTAATGTAATTTTGTGAATGTTGTATGCTCTTAGAGAGAAAATAGTTTCTATCCCAATAAAAAAAATGAATTGTGTAGTGAAATACGAGGTCTGTCCGGAAAGTTCGTATAAAAGTGTTCTGGAATGCGAGAAAGAGGAGTGGGGAGGCCAGGTAAGCGCAGGACCCCTTCCTTATGTCCCTAACAATGCTTCAGTTCTGGTCTGACGGCCGTGCGGTGCGAACTGGCTTGTCACGCCATCTGTGAAGTTACCTCTTGAAACCCCGTCGGCATGGAGCCCGCTTCCGTTGAAGAGCAGCGCGTCGTAATCAAGTTTCTCTCGAAACTCGGCAAGAATGGCCGTGAAAAGCAAAGAGTGGAAGACATCCGGGGAACCACGAAAAAAAATCAAGAAAATCCCGCTCAAATGTCAAGACAATGTTGATTGTTTTTTTCGATGTTCGGGGGATTGTCCATCAAGAATTCGTCCCTCCAGGCCAGACAGTTGATGGAAAATTCTACGTCGATGTGCTCAGACACTGTGTGGCACGAGTTCGTCCAGAATTGGCGCGAGAGGGGCGTTGGATTCTTCACCACGACAATGCCCCTGCCCACACCTCTCTTGTTGTCCGTGAGTTTTTGAGTAAAAATTCCATTACGGTGACCGAACACCCCCCCTATTCGCCGGATTTGGCCCCGTGTGACTTCTTCTTGTTCCCAAAAACCAAATTGGTACTTCGGGGGCGGCATTTGGGGGACATAAATGAGATAAAAAAAGCTAGAGACGGGGCAGCTGAGAAACCTACAACCAGAGGACTTTCAGCCTTCTCACAGTGGAAACGGCGTTGGCACAAGTGCATTAAAAGGGGGAGTACTTTGAAGGGGATAAAATTGATTTACCTGAATAATTGTAAAATAAAATTTTTAAAAAACTTTTATACATACTTTCCGGACAAACCTCGTATTGTAAGCCAGGTTAGTCTAAATGGGTGATAATGGAATGGTAACCTTGCCTGCACCAACATTACTGGTTACCAGTAAGTGATGATAGGTGAGGATGAAAAGGCAGATTAGTTAGCCCATCATGATAAATTCACTTGAAACTGAGCACAATGGTTTCCAAGGGGAATTGTGAAGAGGTTGACCTGACAATGTGTATTACTAACAATGGGGCTACTAATCCCCATTACTAAAAATTATCCTGTAAGTCAGATTAACTTGATAGTTCTAAATAATATACAAAGCTTAAAATTTATATGGATGATACATGTGACATAATTACCTTAATTAAGGGTAAACCATCAAACTTATCCGACACCACAACCACTTTGAAGTGTGTTTCTGCTCCTTTCGGCACATTGTGCATGTAGGATTCGTTTATGACATTCACATGGCTAGCGCTCAAAGCAGATTGCAATTTGTTAAAAATTGTGCTCTCTACTGGTCCAGTTGTTGACATTCTTCTTACAGCAGAAAAACAAACTAGAACATAATATTTTACGGTTCTAACTGGATGTACTTACCTAGTTTTTAAGCATTTTAATTCAAGATTTTTTAAGGTCTTACGAAAGGTATTCTTACCTTGTAAAATATTGTTCATAGAGAAAGCGATTTAATGACAACACGTACCTACACAAATGAGTTGTAGACGTAGGTTAAAATTGATAAAATAAGTTGGCAAATAAATGAATAAGAATTATTGAAAAAGAAATTACGTACAGAATATGTCATTATTTATTAGCAAACAACAAACAGCTGTTCTTTAGTAATGTCAATTTGACACTGTCAGTCTATCGTCAGTCTAGTACAGATTAGATACTTTTCTAAAAGACCTAAACTCGTTAGCTACTCAGCTTCTACTTAAAAATCTCTCACAAAATTGGGCTTTATATCAAATGTTACCTCAAGTTGTCACTTTATATTACCTTTTATGTAGAAAAAATAAACCATTCATTCATTCTACTTAGACACTATTGTATGTATAACACATTTGTATGCAGAGGACAAACGCCCCAAATGTGTGCTAAAAGAGTCCTTTGGGACATGCCACGGATTTAACGTACACAATATATCATTGATGGTCATTTTATTTACCGTTACTTACTGATTACTGCCTACTTTAATTATGTTTAATATAATATGTGGAATTTTATCATTATTAATTATAATTGATAAATGACTTTAGTTTTTTAAGAATTTTGACTTACATAAGACCTTAAATATTATCATTATTCTACAATCTGGCTTGGCAGTAATGTTGTTTCGGGTACTTTTAACGAGGTATATTTTACTATAGATAATACCTTATTCACACTACAATTCAATCCTGTTTCGTTTAATCTCGAACTGTTTCTACTGACCATACCGAGAGTGCTCCGTTCGTTATAATAGGGTAGGGATCCGCTATAAACATCGAATTGTTTTATTTTTAGGGTTCTGTAAATAAGGTACGGAAAAAGTTTGAGAATAATTGATTATGCTTCAACAATATATGACAAATTTAATAATAAATGTACGCTTGAATATATAACTAGACAGGTAGACAGTAACCAGGTTAAAGTGGCCTAGGTACCTACTAGCTGTAAACATTATGCGGTAGGATGGTAATGTAATAATAAAATCATATCTACGTTTTTATATGATATGACGGATTGATTTTTCATTGGACATCCGAGGTCGAGGTTGCCTCCGAGTCCCGACACTGATGTATTGCAATCGAATAAAATCCATTTTTCTTTATCACTTTTACGACTCCCTTTGTGGATACCGCTCGCTCTGTTAGTGAATCCGAACTATGTGATTGATATATTATTTGATTAGTAAGTTTTCTAAAGTCTATAAAGTAGGTACATCTACTTATAGACTTTCTTTTTAAAAAGAAACGGAAATATTTTTATTATGTCTTAGTATAAATAAACACTTATCTGTGAGAGCTGTCATCATTAATTTCATATCGGCTTTTAACTGTCCACTGCTGAATATAAGCTTCCCTAGGGTTTGCCAATAGTTGCCACGCTTGTCAGGTGGATTGGCAACCGCAGTTAGGCTTTCAAGATGTGTTAAGAGGGACGCTGCCGCCCGTCCCTCGTCCTCCCTTAGTCGCCTCTTACGACACCCACGGGAAAGGAAGGAGTGGCCTATTTTATTCTGGGACCAAATTGTGACAGCTGTGTACATATACGATTACAGGAACCGATATGTTCGTTTAGCCTTAAGCTTACTTATAACATTGCACTTATTCTGTTGAATTATTGTGAACATATTTTTGATGTATCTTACACAAAAATTAATAAATTAAGCCTATTTTTATCTTGAACAATTATTATACATATGTACATATACATCTGGTAGGGACCAGTTGTATCTCACGGCTCCGCGTGATACAGTATATGCAATATCCTATGTGCTACGTTAGGATATAACCTATCCGTGTACTAAGGAGAGAAGGAATTGTTAGTAATGTGGATTCTCGGTCCCATTGTTAGTAATATACGCAATCAGGTTGACCTCCATGTGGTTTCTCCTGAAAACTGTCGTGCTGAATTCCTGGTGGGCTAACTGACCTGTCTTTCCATCCTCGCCTATCACCCCTCACTGGTGCCCTGCCAGCGTATACCGAAAGCGCAGGCGAGGTTACCATTCCATTATAATCCATTAAAAAAACCGTGTACTAAATTTCATTCATTCCGTTAAGTAGTTTTTGCGTGAACGAGTAACAAACATCCAACCATCTATCATTACAAACTTTAACATTTATAATATTAATAGGAATGGTAATGTAACTTAAGTAACTTTTAAAATAATTATGTAGGTATATCTGTAGAGATATCAGTATCTATCTATAATCTATATATCTATAATATCTACCTATATAATCGTGTTAAGTCACTTAAAATAAAACGGTAATAAATTATGCTAAAGTACCAGTAAATCAAAAAAAGAATATTAAATAATCCCATTCGTGTTTCAACTGTGAAGCAGTTGTGTTTGCATGGCTGTGTTTCGGTTTGAAGGGTGGGATATGGCGTGAATTTACAGGGTACAGAGGAATAACACCCGAGTCCTCAGGAGTGGCAATGCATGATGGGTATCATGGGCGAAACAGTATACTCTGTTATGTCCACGGTACTGCTCATGTCTATAGGCGACGGTTACCACTTTCCATCAGGTGGGCCGTCAGCTTGTTTGCCATTCTAAGTTGTATAAAAAAAAAATTAATTATATTATTTTGGAATTTTTCTAGTTCAATATTTTTTTTGTTCAGAGACTAATAACAATGCTAATACGTATCATAGATGTGATCACTACAGGTTTATATATATATATATATATATATATATATATATATATATATATATATATATATATATAAGGGTATTTGAAAATCCCAATGCTAGTGATTTACATCGGGTTTTCCCCTTGTATTTCGCATATAAAGAATTGTATTAAGCACTGGATAGTTAAATATATATAAATATATATGTATTTAGGTCTATTATACTTACATAATAATATACCAGGGGAAATATATATAAATATAGTTTGTATGATCACTACAGGTTGAAGTAGTAGAAAATTGAAATTTTTATTGTATTTATTTATTTTTTATTTTTTGGTACACAAAACAATCAGGTCAATGCTATTAATAAAGCAATTAGTACAGTTTACATTTGGCTTGAAGTGTAGTTTTGATATCCATTGTCGCACGACGATAAAGATAACGTCATTATTTGGTCATTTTAAGGTCGCGTCTCTATAATTATATAAAAGTACATTATTTAAAGGTCGCGGACGTCATAAAGCCACACATTGTGGGATGTAAACGACGCTGGTTTGAAGTTAATTGAAATTTTGATTGTGTATAGATGCACAAAGCGGTCAGGCTATTGATAAAGCCGTCAACAATACCTACATTTGACTTGAAGTGTGTGTGGTTTCAATATCCGTTCTTGTCACCCGATGCTGGAAAGGAAATGCGGGACGTCGGTATCGGACATGGCACGTGGGACGTTTAAATAGGCATCGCTTTCATTTTGTTTGCATAAAGAAGATCAAAAAAAAAAAAAAAAAATATATATATATATATATATATATATAATGAGGTAAATATGGAAAATAAAATCTTTAAGAGAATATAAAGAGGTTATTTTAAGTATAATCTATTTTTTTAAGCTTAAGAAAACAATCCAAACTTTTATGTAACTATATTTTATTTCATTATTGTTACCAGTTTACTACAGCAAATGTTATTTTCAAATTTTTTGATCTTATACTGCGTAGTAGTTAGTATTTACACAAACTTATTTATTTTACCAGAGGGAGACTTTGTACAAAAGTCGATTGCTTGGGTACCTCTGTCCCATTCGTGTTTCAACCGTGAAGCAGTTGTGTTTGCATGGCTGTGTCTCGGTTTGAAGGGTGGGATATGGCGTGAATTTACTGGGTACAGAGAAATAACACCTGAATCCTCAGGAATGGCAACACATGCGGGGTATCATGGGCGAAACAGTATACTCTGTTATGTCCATGGTACTGCTCATGTCCATAGACGACGGTTACCACTTTCCATCAGGTGGGCCGTCAGCTCGTTTGCCATTCTAAGTTGTATAAAAAAAAAAAAACAATATTTAGATTTATGTTTTTTGAATTGATGATTGATATTGTATTGAATGATTTTGGTGAGGGGTTATGGAATATTTGTATGCCCAATAACGATGGATCATAGCGATCTTAATTTTGTATATAATATCATGTAATCTATGTTTGTGCAAATAAATAATTGACTTTAATAGCTCACTTTGAATACCATAGAAGATTATAACTACTTATAGATATTTCAACGTTAAATCGTTGTCACATTTGCGTTATTAATCTATGAATTGTGTTAATTATCTGTCCATCCATCACTGCAGAATGGTATCTGAAGATTAATGAGAGCGTTATGGATGACCTGAGTAATCAGGGGACATTGGCTGTCCAACGCTGTATCGTGATACGGAATCACTAGTCACGTGCTATTAGAGTTATATTATACCTACTATTGATCATTATAAATGTGTATTTATGTGTGGGTTATATATATATATACATATATGTACATGTATATACATATATACATACAATTTAGAATGGCAAACAAGCTGACGGCCCACCTGATGGGCCGTATATATAATATATATATATATACATTATATATATTATATTATATTATATGATATTAGATTTAGAAGTAGGGAAATTAATGAAAGAGACTATTTCTAGATGGAGTATCAAAATATATATTATTTACTAGTGGCCCGTCCCGGCGTCGCACGGGTGGACATTTTTAACTTTTCCTTTCACTGCTCTGCTCCTATTGATCGTAGCGTGATGAAAAGTATGCTATAATCTGCCCAACAGTATGAATAATAATTGTATCAAGATTCGTTAAAATCCGTCGAGTGGTTTTTGTTTCTATAACGAACATACAGACAGACAGATACAAATTTCACTGATTGCATTTTTGGCATCAGTATCGATCACTAATCACCCCCTGATAGTTATTTTGGAAATATATATCATGTACAGAATTGACCTCTCTACAGATTTATTATAAGTATAGATTAAGTTAGACCTTCAGAAATAGAACTGTGAAAACTGAATACAGACAAACAAGTAGACAATTTTTAAAAATGATTGTTTTGACATTAATTAGTCTTATTAAAACCCTTATACTTAGATTACATAGATAGAGTATCTTCATACAAATGCTTCGTGAAAAGCGGGTT